CATCGACCCGGAAGAAACGCTGATTCTTGTGACTGCCGATCATTCGCATGCCTTTGAGTTGGTGGGTCAGCCAAGTCGGTTCCAGAACCCTTTACTAAGAGAGGTCAACTACGGATCACGGGTAAGAAAGCATGCTTTATGTGAGGAGACCTGATTGTTCAGTAGAGTTGACGTGCCAATTTTGAAACGTCCTTACAAATGTATGTATATTTCTTCACACGAATATTGAAACTAATGAATTTCATTCGTTCTCTATTATATTTTATCCGCAATTGAAATGCGGTAAAATCGACATGTTAATATATATAAATCAATTAAATGAATATTGTTTTATTAAGTTCTTTTTCCCATAATGGATTTTCGATGTCATCTTAATATAACAAGATCGAGACGTTCGCCAGGGTGCTCTTTCATTTTTCAAATTCAAGTTTCTTTTACTTTTTAATATGCAAATATACCCGAGTTACTTCTTGAACAAAAGCTACTCAGAACCTCGAAGATGTTTAGCTGTTAATCGGTCAAATATTTCCTCCTAAGTGTATGAACGAATATGACTCACTATTGATTCTGCTTCGGAAGTCGCCGAATTGGTTTTTATATACGCCAGCACTGGACAGTTGCAGAAAATTGATTTTCCTATAGTGTGATGTAGACCGCTTAAGGTTTGGCCCCAATGTGTGCGGTCTTCCTGTTGGTAGCAATGGCGGACAGGGACTCAGGTTGTCACAGTGAGGAAGGTTTTCTGACTACATTCGAACTTTACCTAACTATATTTCCGAACGCGTACTAATTTTACTGTTGAACCTGCGTGTGATTTTGTGCCACAAATGAAAAATGTCAGTTTCGAGTTATGTTACGGATTCTTTGGCAAGGACAACATTTAACTTGGTAATTTTGGACATCTAGATAAGCTCGTCACGGCTCAGGAAGTTTGATTTTTTACATCCGAGCCCTGATCCCATAATCGATCAAAGGGCAAGTTATTCGTTCTGTCTTCACTCGGGTGTCAGTTGGTGTACATTCATGTAACTTTTAAACAGGCTGTTTTCTTCCAAAAGCGTTTGGTGATCTCTTTCTTATGAGTAGGAATTGTGTTCTTGACTCACATCATTTATCATTCACACGGTGCCTTGCGGTTTGTTGGTCGCATCAAAATGACTGCCTTCCCTTGTAGTCTAACAACGAGTGAAAATTCAGCATTTCAGTCAGATGGCACACCAGCCTGTTAGACTGATAAACAGGGGGATACTAAGCGCACAAGAGGGCAGCTTTACTCACGTCCGACGGTTGGGACCAGTTTTACGGCGGATGACACCTTGAGTTACTTGTTTTCAGAGTGGACCCCGGTTGAGATATTATGAGTTCTGTCAACGTGAGCGAATTCACGGAGATGGCGACTGCCCTAAGGGCCGTGACGCTTACATCGTATTAGACAGACACCTTGCCGGTTACAATAGGCCCATAATGCGA